TTCCCTGTCCTGTCTAGCAGCAGTAGTTTGTTACTGGAGGAAGGTTGTGGCAGGAGCCTGCCCCTCTGCCAGCAGAGGCAATGCATGGACCTGGCAGTGAGTTGAAAGCTGTAGCTGGGGAGCCAGCTGAGAGAAATGCATGCTTTTTGTGCTGCTGTTGGGTATACAGGAACATTTAAAGAAATAGAGCTTCTAAAGTGATGGCCAGAACTCTGCCAAAGCCCTATCTATCTGGTGGCAAAGGCTTGTGAAGTGTCTCTGCTGGGAACAAGCAGAGGCAATGCATGGACCTGGCAGTGAGTTGAAAGCTGTAGCTGGGGAGCCAGCTGAGAGAAATGCATGCTTTTTGTGCTGCTGTTGGGTATACAGGAACATTTAAAGAAATAGAGCTTCTAAAGTGATGGCCAGAACTCTGCCAAAGCCCTATCTATCTGGTGGCAAAGGCTTGTGAAGTGTCTCTGCTGGGAACATCTGCAGTTACAAAAGCACTGGTTTGTTTCAGAACTGTGCCCCTCTGCTGGGAAAAAGTAATGTACTGGGACGGGTGAAGGAATGTGTTATTTTTAAATGCTATTTAAGAGGAAAGATAATCATAGTTTAAAATTGGAGGAGAGAAAGCACCAACAAAATGCAACTTTGTGGAATCGTAAACATGCAGTTACTCTGGAGAAAAAGCAGATGAATGGTATTGTCACCTTCTAAGACAGCAGTTTTCCCCTACTCTAGACTCTTTGATTTAAAAAAGAAGTTATTCTAAATCCAGGCTGCATCTCAGTTTGGAAGCTGATGCTCTGGGAACAGCTGGCTGGTACCTCCCTTCTGTGTGGACCAGCTTGTGGAGGGTATTTCTGACCACCTTGATCATCCTTGGACCTTCTTAACTCCATATAACCTGATAAATCCTGACAAATTGACCTGGAATGGCAGGGAAAAAAGTTGTGCTGCTTTTAAGCTTTTTTCCCTACTGATGGAAACGAGAAGAGGGCCCATCCCAATTTCTTGGCTTGCTGAAATGAACCACTTGGCATGAACTGTGGCATTGGAAGGTGAACAGGGTCACTCTGGTCTTCTCTGTCTAAGAGAAATGAAAAATCCAACCCAGTTTAGAGAGACTGTGATGAGATAGGGTGGAGTCTGGATGTTAGGAGAAAGTTGGTACTTCAGAAAAAACAGCTGACACTTACCTTGAGTCTCTGTGAATATGCAGTTGAGAAGCTGCAACACACAAAAAAAGGGTGCCTGCTATCCATTCGGTGAAGTACGTGTCCTTGTATGTGGTCATCTTCTTCAAAGCTCTTCACAAATTTAACTGTATTTAATTCTGTCAAGGAATTGGAATTTTGATTACAAAAGTATATAGGAATGAGTCACATTCAACTCAAAATTAACATTTTTAAACATTTTGACTGGAAGTCTTCCCTGTTGAAGAAGAGGCACCATTCCAGCTGAGAGATGCTAGAGGGAAGAGGCAGCTTTGGGGAAGCCAATTACATCCTTTCACTAGAACACCATTTCCCTTCTCTGCTGTGTCCCACAGCTGCTCTGTCTCTATTTTAAAATGTCGTTCTGCTTACCAATTGTCCTCTGTAACAGCCAGGAAATATAAGGGTACCTCAGTCTTTCAATTCCTTTTTTTTTTTTTTTTTAAAAACACTGAGTTCATAACCTACTGTGCAATGCTAATTTCAATGCAGCGGGTCTGAAGGTTATGATGAGCTGCACTTGGGCTTCTGCCTGGCCTTTGCCACCCTTGAGCACACAGATGCTGCTGTGGGCCCTCTGACATGTGGCCAAACTGCTGGCAGGAATCGGTCTGTCTGCTCTCAGGCTGGTGCTGTGTGGTGCATATGGGCATCAGACTATGACAATTTCTATGCACAGAAAAAAAATAAAGATGGAAATGACAGTAGGAAGATTTGCTGTTTTAATGTAATGGGTTTCCCTTTCAGAGCTGATAGGAAGGCTTCCTACTCCTTCCTGCATGCAGCGTGCTTGGTCAGTTGATCTGCTATCTGTTTCCATTCAGTCAGGCTAAAATAAATGTCATTAAACCTCTGCTCTCAAAATGGCCTTGGATTTTTAGAGAGGGATGCTGCCTTTCAAACTACATCGTCTTTATCAGACAGAATGCTGTTCCCTTTCTTAGGCATTTTCTATTTCTTGATAATGTATGACTGTGGTGCCCCAGGAAATGAAATTATTCTGAGTGTTTCTCTAGTGCTCTCATTGACTAAGCAATTTGACTTCAACATTTGCATTAATATAATAGATATATATCAATCTATATATTGATCAGATATTACAGAACATACAGAGCAAAATTACTTGGCTGTGCTGAGATGTTGGGTTGCTCAGTACAGTTAACACCCCCCTAATCAAAAGCTGAGATACAGGGAGGTGAATGCAGTTCTGCCTGGGAACTGTTTCTGCACTTAATGCTGGAGGAAGCGATTGTGAAAGAATGACTTGCGCAAAATGGTTGCATCAGCCCTCCCAGTGCTGGGTGATGGCTGGCAAAAGGAGAGACACTTGCCACTAGATTTTAGCTTGCGAAGAAGGGAGCGCAAACACGATCTGTGCTCATTTTTGTGTCCCCTGTCAGCAGCAGCAATAGAAGTGATTGAAATGTGAGTTTGAAGGGCAGTGTCATGCGTGCTGGACAATGCCAAACTCTTCAGAAGCCATGGCTGCCTTAGGGGAGCAGCCAGTTAAGAAAACTGGTCTGTTTCACTGGCTGAGTAGTTAGAGGACATTGGGAAACTGTCAAGATAAAGTTTTGAGGAGCACAGGCTGAAATATTTTCTCACTCCAGGACTGTTGTTGCATTGGACCTGCCAAAGGGTTTCCAGCTCTTGTACTCACAGTTATGAAGTGACTACCTGGATCCCAGAGGACATGGTCAGCACACAAGGAGACTGAAACACAGCATGCATTACACATGGTAAGTATTTACTTTCTGCACATTCAGGATTTGGGGATACTGTTTTATCTGCAATACTGGGGCTGTTTACAGCAGCTTGTGAGCTTTAATAAGTGACTTATTGTCTGGTGTAGCCAACGGGGAAATTTTCTTTGGCACTCGTGGCAGGAAACACAGCCCTTCTATAAATTAAAATCAGTATTGTTCTAATTACATCCAGTGTTTATAGGGTGATGGTAACATCCAATTCTCATCTATTACCAGTGTTGATTTACAGAAAAGGGTGATAGACTTGTTTGGTTGCATATCAGCTTGTTCTGCCCTTCCAGTAAAGAATGTAAATTGCTTACACAGTGTATAAAAGGGTGTGACAGGAGGACTCTGTGTAGTTCTACCTTTTAGAATCCCTGAGGCTGGTAAGGCTCTATGCATGGGACCCCAAAATCTCTTTGAGGAAAGTTTGCAGTGTCAGAAGTCACAGCCCACTGGAAGAGCTGAGAGGACAGATATGGTCCGTTCAGACTTCTGCCTCACAGGTAGACGTACCAGATGGACAGGCTAATACTGCAGAGGCTGTGAGCATTTAGAATCTTAGAATCACTTTGGTTGGAAAAGACCCTTAAGATCATCAAGTCCAACTGTTAACCTAGTACTGTCAAGTCCAAAACTAAACCAGGTCCCTAAGCACCACATCTACACATCTTCTAGATACCTCCAGGCATGGTGACCCGAACACTTCCCTGGGTAACCAGTTCAAGTGCCTGACAAACCTTTCAGTGAAGAAATTTTTCCAAATAAGAGGGAAGAGACCAACACCCACCTTGCTACAATCTCCTTTCAGATAGATGTAGAGAGCAATAAAGGCTCCCCTCAGCCTCCTTTTCTCCAGCCTAAACCAACCCATTTCCCGCAGCCACTCCTTGTAAGATTCATTCTCCAGACCCTTCATCAGTTTCGTTGCTCTTCTTTGGACAGGCTCCAGCTCCTCAATGTCCTTCTTGTCATGAGGGTTCCAAAACTGAGCACAGTACTCGAGGTGTAGCCTCACCAGTGCCAGTACAGGGTGACAATCTAGTCCTGCTGGCCACACTATCTCTGATACAAACGAGGATGCCGTTGGCCACCTGGGCACACTGCTGGCTCATATTCAGCCATCTGTCAACCAACACCTCCAGGTTATTTTCTGCTCAGCAGCTTTCCAGTCGCCCTTTCCCAAGCCTGCAGCATTGCCTGGGGTTGTTGTGACCCAAGTGCAGCACCTGGCACCTGGCCTTCTTGAACTTAATGCAATTGGCCTTGGCCCATTCATCCAACCTGTCCAGGTCCCTTCCTGCCCTCAGGCAGATCAACACTCTTGCCCAACTTGATGTTATCTGCAAACTTACTGATTCCCCCATCCAGGTCTTTGATCATCTACCCATCTTCCCCTGTTTAGGATTGAAACATTCAGCTGTAGCTTCATTGCTGAGAGGAGTCATAATGTGAGAAATGTAAGAGGTGAGAGCCACAGCTATGCACACGTGCAAAGGCAAGATGTCCAGAATGGTCCTTTATGACTGTTGAGACATGATATGGCTGTATTCCAGAGATTATTAGCATGCCATGTTTCCAAGGCTGAGTAGCTGAAGTAGAAGACTGATGTCACAGCAGAACTCTTATAAGAAAAACTGAATCTGAACTTCCTAAAAAAATGGCAGTTTTTCAATCCTTTTCAGTTGCTGTTTAAAACTAGAAATCAACACAATCTTCTTTCTGTTTCAGTTTTTCAGTTCTTCTCAGTTGCTGTTCAAAACTAGAAATCAACACAATCTCTTCTTTCTGTTTCCTACAGCAAAATGTTTAAACAAACAAAACACAAATCAAGAGCTAAACATTCCTGGCAAGTGTGGGCCCTCTACATGGTGTTAGCTGTAAACCTCTCTGAAGAACAAGTGCTGAAGCAAAGTTGTCCATCATGTGATGCCTCTGAGCTTTGCAACTGCTCTTCCATGGGCTTGGATTTCATTCCCCAAGAACTCACAGACAAAATTGTAACATTAAACCTGTCCCACAACAGGATCAAGCACATCCGATCCCAGGATCTGCAGCAGGCTGTGAACCTGAGAGCCCTGCTGCTGCAGTCCAACACAATCAGCTCAATAGATGAGGACTCGTTTCGCTTCCTTGGGAAACTGGAGCTCTTGGACTTGTCAAATAACAGCCTGGCTCACTTGTCCCCTGCATGGTTTGGTCACCTCCTTTCCCTCCAGCAGCTCCACCTTCAAGGGAACTCCTACAGAGACCTGGGGGAAAGCTCCCTGTTTTCTGGGCTGAGGAACCTGAGCTCTCTCCACCTGGGCAACCCACAGTTTTCCACAATAAGGCAGGGAAACTTTGAGGGCATTTCAGTTCTCCAGTATTTATGGATTGAGGGTGGCAATCTCAGTCAGTATGAGCCAGGAAGTTTGAAACCGATTCAGAAGATAAATCACATGATCATAAACCTGAGGAACGCTAAAGTATTCTCAGCAATTGTCAGGGACCTTCTGCACTCTGTCACTTGGTTAGAAGTGAGAGAAATTCAGTTAGATATTGAAAAGAAAAGCTTGGTGCAGAATTCAATGCCTCCTTTTAGCATACAAAAACTTACATTTAAAGATGCTTGGTTCACAGACCAATATATTACCCGAACAATAGTATTACTGAAGGAAATCACATCACTGCAAGAGATTGAGGCCATTGATTGTGTGCTTGAGGGGAAAGGAGCCTGGGATACTACAGAAATTAAAGTAAGTGGACAAAGTTTTGTTGAATCAGTGTCCATAATAAACCTAATGATTCCAAATTTTCACTTGTTTTTTGACCTGGAGGGCATGGAGTCACAAGTAAAACAACTGAAAAGACTCACCATTGCGGGCTCCAGAGTTTTCATGGTACCATGCAAACTTGCAAAACATTTTTCATCACTTCAGTATCTGGACTTTAGTAATAACTTGCTAGTAAACAATCGCTTAGATGAGACAATCTGTGAAAAAGGTTGGCCTTTGCTGCAAACTTTAAACCTAAGTCAAAACTCTCTTAAATATCTGAAAGAAACTGCAAATTCTGTAACTCGTCTACTCACACTGAGAAATCTTGACATTAGCCAAAATAATTTTGGTGATATTCCAGATGTGTGTGAATGGCCCCAAACCCTGAAATATTTAAACCTCTCCAGCACTCAAATTCCTAAACTCACGACTTGCATTCCCACAACACTGGAAGTTTTGGATGTCAGCTCAAACAACCTGAGGGAGTTTGCACTGCACCTGCCATTTCTCAAAGAGCTGTACCTAGCCAAAAACCAGCTGATGACCTTGCCTGGTGCTGCACCTGTTCCTAACTTAGTGGTCTTGTCAATCAGAAGGAACAAGCTCAGCAGTTTCTCCAGGGAAGAGTTTGAGTCCTTCAAGCAAGTGGAGCTGCTGGATGCCAGTGACAACAACTTCATCTGCTCCTGCGAATTTCTCTCCTTCATCCAGCACCAGGCCAGGATAGCCCAGGTGCTGGTGGGGTGGCCAGAGAAGTACGTCTGTGACTCTCCGCTGGCGGTGAGAGGGGCGCAGGTTGGGGCCGTGCACCTCTCCCTGATGGAGTGCCACAGGTCCCTCGTGGTGTCCCTGATCTGCGCCCTGGTGTTTGTGGTCATCCTGGTGCTCGTGGCCCTTGGCTACAAGTACCACGTGGTCTGGTACCTGAGGATGACCTGGGCGTGGCTCCAAGCCAAGCGGAAGCCCAAGCGAGCCCCTGCCAAGGACGTCTGCTACGACGCTTTTGTCTCCTACAGCGAGAACGACTCTGACTGGGTGGAGAACATCATGGTGCGGGAGCTGGAGCAGGCCTGCCCGCCCTTCCGGCTCTGCCTCCACAAGCGGGACTTTGTGCCCGGGAAGTGGATCGTGGACAACATCATCGACTCCATAGAGAAGAGCCACAAAACCCTCTTTGTGCTGTCCGAGCACTTTGTGCAGAGCGAGTGGTGCAAATACGAGCTGGACTTCTCGCACTTCCGCCTCTTTGACGAGAACAACGACGCCGCGATTCTCGTCCTGCTGGAGCCCATCCAGAGCAAGGCCATTCCCAAGCGGTTCTGCAAGCTGCGCAAGATCATGAACACCAAGACCTACCTGGAGTGGCCTCTTGAAGAAGAGCAGCAGAATATGTTTTGGGAAAACCTGAAAGGAGCCTTGAAGTCATAGAACAAGTCAACAGCCTCCATTTCATCCAGAGTTTCACAAAGGCTGCATGCCACTGTTTCTTCCTTCTTAGTTTTCTGCCTTAAGGAGCACTTGCTTTCTTGTCTATATAAATAATTATCATCTTAATAACTGAGAATGACCTGCTGTGGGCTTTCCAGTGATTCCATACTCCAATCTTTCTAAATCTCTGCCAATAACTATGATATTTGGAAGCCATGTTGGACTTTGTATACTTTCCTAAATAAACTCATCGGAATGAGTTTATTTTATGTACCATTTTTTAATGTACTCTTTCATCCTGTTGCCACACACCCCCCTAAATAGTTCCTAACAATGCCATTGGAGTTTACAAACTAAAATAAAAGCCAAGTGCTTCAGTATTCACTGTGTTTGTTGTTCTACTTCAGTTAATTTTCAGTTCCATCATGAGGAGCATGGTACTTTAAGTTATGAGGAAAAAACAAAGAAAAAAGAGGACTTACATTGAAGAAACCCTTTGAAGCCCTACCAGTGCTGTGCAACACACATAAAAAAGACAATATTTAATTCATACTGCCATTCACAAGTCTGTTATTCTGGCTAGTTACACCAGAGTCCATACCACTATGCACAGATTGGGGTTTACTCAGTAGCTGTGAAAGAAGCATTCTGGCAGCTTGTACATCAACAATGGTGAAATTCAGAGCAAAGAATCACTCGGTTTGGGGTTTTTTTCTTGGGCTTTTGTGTCCCTGTGTATGGCTTGTTTCTTCATCCACGGTCATCACCATGTTCCCTTCTACCTATCCACAGAAACAGGTGAAGCCTTCTATTTTTGGTGCATGGTGATGTGTTTCTAATGTGCGGGCTAGATGGTGTTGAAGATTGTCTCACTTGTTTCTGCTCCTTGCAGAACACTTTTAAGTAACTATTGGGTCATGCACTCATTACAGCTCTACTGAGCTTTCTTTATAACCAGGGGAGAAAATCATACTGATAAGAAGCAATTAAACTTTTTGCTTCAGTATGAGGTATCTCCTAGAACTACTGCATTGCTTTTCATCAATTACAAAGGTAATCTAGACAAGTGGGTAGTTACAGATGTTTATTTTGGGACATCTGGTCCCATTTTGAGTGCCTGGAGTCACAGTTGTTGTCTGTTTCTTGTGCTTTCGATCTCCTTGTGGAAACTTGAAATTGTCTTTGGCAGGAAGAAGTTAGGTGTGGGTTTCTCTGACTTGGCACTTTCATGTTGCACTTTGCTTGTATTGCTGGGGCTTAGTACAGGAGAGTCTAAATGCATCTTGATTGAACCTTATACATGCAGTTACTTTGTGGTGAAACACCAAAGCATTGGCATATGAACTGGGCAAATATTTGAAAAAACTGGTAAATTTGCTAATATGTTTCTGTGTTGGTATATATGTACACATTAATATATATGTATTTTTATGTATGTGCCTGTGAATATGAATCAATTCATACTCCTGTGCATATACAAATAAATGAGATGAAAGTTTCTGCCAACTTTCAGTTCTACTTTCCTGTCATAATGGTATCTGTAGGTTTAGTCCAAAGTCTGCTACAAAAGTGTTTTTCTATTCACTTTCTTAGACAAGAATAGCTCAAGTGCTAATCAAGTCTGAACTCCAGGTAAGTGATGAGTGAATAATCTGATAGCAAACACTAAGCATTGATAAAATTGATTATGAGACTGTGTGCCAAGACGTAAGGAGGAAAATATATCTTGCTGGTCATTTCAAAGAGAAGATCAGAGAGGCAGGTGGGAGAAGCCTTGGCTTTCACACAGTACACTCTTACCATAGATCCAGACTTTTAAAAGTTGGCACATTTTAAAAGATTGATAGTGTTACTACTCTTATGCCAAGCAGATCCCCTAGGTGGGAATTCCCCTGCTTACATAGCCGGGGTGGAGAAGTGAAGTGAGAAGGAGGCAGCACCATGAGAGGAAGCTGGGTAAAGAGCAACTCACATGAGAGAGATGAAGCACAATACAGGTTAAGAGGCGTGCAGGCACCAGAGCTGGAGCTGGCATCCCTGGGAACCTTTTCCTCACAGAGGTGAGTTTGCAGGTGGGTAGAGGCTGGAGATGCATGGGAAGAGAGTGTAGGTACAAAGCCAGAGCAAGAAGTGAGGAAGGAGCACTGGGAAGAGGCTGTCTGATCTCTGCCAACAAGTCCTCCTCTACATGGGGGATCAAGGGTGTGTGGGGCTGCTGGGCAGGGGCCACCTCCCACAGGAGTGTAGGGCAGAGGGATTTATGGCTGCCAGCAGAAGTGGAATAGGGAGATGCAATCACAGGAGCTAGTAGGGCTGTATGGCACGTGGGCAGCAAAAAGAATGGCTCCCTGGGAGAGCTGGGACAATGCCAATGGGAGCAATGCCTTTCAGGAATGTAGGGAGAGGAATGTAGCAAATGAAAAAATTTGAGTCAGACTGTGTAATTTCTGCTCGGATTCCTTATGGGAAAGTGCCTTGTATGTGCTTTGTCCTGTTTCTGCATTGTTCCACTTGTGTGTTGATACCAGCTGTCCAGGAAAGGCTGAGCATGAAGGTGGGCTGTTTATTTTAGTAATTCTACCGGAAAAGGCTCACTGAGCAAGCATCCTGGGGCATTGGGATAAGCTACTTCCTCACCTAACTCTTCCCCATTTCACATCCTCTGCATGGGAAACATGAAGGGACTCTATATCTATGTGTGTAAGCGTACACATACATACTGTTAAAGCAATGCTGGTGGGTGGTGCCTAGGACATGTAACCCACACACAACCAAATGGAAAGCAGCAGCTTTCCCCAGTCTGCTTGTGGGTCAGTCCCTTCACCAACCAGTGACCTTCTCGCTGCAGACTCTGTAGAACTGTTCACATTTCTGGTTTTCCCCAGTCTAGAATGAATTTACATGCTATTAGGATGCTTTATTTTAGCAGTTACATTAGCCTTTAGCATTTGTTAGCATTTACAGCACCCTGTTCCATTTGCACTCATGGCTTTGTTTAAGAGTACGCACATATTTCCTCAAATACTTTTGGTCTGGGCCACGGAAGATAATCCTGAGTGTGTTTGATGGCTGACACCCTTTGTCCATAACCCAGAAATGCTTTGAAAGTCTAGTTCATCATAGCACGTTATGGTGTAAGGGCACTTGTACAAGTTTCTGCATTATTAGCTGCATTTCAATTTCTATGTGGCTTTTATTCTTCCCAGCACCCCAAGGATAAGTAATTCCTTGGTAAGGCAATGATATTATGGACTGGGGCTATATATCTGAGTGGGTGCAGAGAGGCCTGAAATGACCCTGTAAATCAGGGTCTTAAGCTGTATTATTAACAGGAATGGGAAGAGGAAGAGAATGGCTGAAAATGAATGACAGGTGGGAATTGGATTTCCTGGAATGTCTTCTCAAATTACAGATCAGCAAAAAGACATGGAAAAGATGCTCAGAGACGTGACCAAAAAAAAAGAAAAGCATTCTGTACCACCAAATGGGTTTCTGTCCTGCATTTCCTTGTTGGTTTCAGGCTGGTAAGGTGGAAAGCCATGAGGCTCAGCCAGTTTTTCACATGCAGTCCCTGACCAGTTCTCTTCTGTGCTGCCAGTTTTCGAACTGTAAATAATCTACCTATAGATAGATTTTTGATTGCCCAAGTTACCTGTTGTTTCTTTTTCTAACAGTAAGCATTTTGTTCACAATATTTAAAATCCCAATTAAATCCCTTGCATGTGAAATTCACCTTACTCGTAACTTTGCTTCTACGGCTTACAGCGCTGTGCTATCTGGCCGGACTTGCAGAACCAAAAAAGCCCCATGAAAGAGCCTTAGCTGGACAGCAGGTCAGTGTGACTACAGATTGCAGTTCTTTGGTTGGGATTCACATGGACAAATATCTAGGTATCTAACCTGTGGTTCTTCATTTTTAGTTGATAGGATCTTTCATCTTGGAATCCTTGCATCTTAATGTGTCAGTTTCCTTCTGAAATTTGTTGTTTCTCTCCACCGACTTTGGAAGACACAGTGGATGACCAGCTCAGCTGTGGGCTTCTGGAGACAGAGGAGAGAGGCCTGTGTCCTTCAGAACCCAAAGCTCTACATCAGAGAGAGACAGAGATGAAAGAAAAATAAGACATGATGTTTATAGTCCTTCAGGTGGGAAAAAATAAAATTATTGAAAAAATTATCGACAACTCTTCCTCCTCTCCCTATATACCCAAACAATCTCAGCTAATTCTGCTCCTTTTGAATAATTTTCAGTAACTCTGGATAAAAATAATCCAAGTAGAAGCATATGACTTGGAGCTGTCTGTATGAACTTGTCTGCATGGGTCAGCTATTGTAGAACAGATTAGCATATGAATTTGAAGTAGATCTTTTACACAGAGTCTCAGTGAGATGACTGAAGGAGAAAGTAGTTCTCAGTGAGCCACACTAACCTGATTAACCTCATACAGAGCCTCTGATGATCTTTGGGAGTGTGTTCACTGGCCTCTTTGGGGTTGGCTTACTCTATTCACTGTCAGTAAATACTTACTTTTGAGTGGTTTTCTGACACTCTGGGGAAAGTCACGCTTTGGAAGTGCTCTTTGATCCTTTCTGGAAAAGCATAAACAAAGAGATTCAATACGTAATAAGGATCTTGAAGGGAAAACAACCCTCTCAGGCTTCAAGAATTGTTTTTCCAGCTCCTCAGAGGGACAGAAGAGCTAAAGTTGCCTTGTTGGGAGTAAGGACACGTTGGATATTGCAGCAAGTTCTGTAACACAAAAAAGCTGTGTCAGATCAGCACTATGCGAGGCATGACTGTGAGAGAATAGAGAAGTGACACAGAATCCACAGTTGTGTAGCTTCTCTTAAATAATTTTAGTCCAGAAGATGACAGCTGTGGGGCTGGAAAAAATCTTATCCAACCAGTTGATCTGCAAGAGACCCCAAAAGTCCCCGGCTCTTCCTTCTGTCTTTCTGTCTGCCACAGAGACACAATGAACAAAGAGCCACTGGCAGAGGAGAAGGCTCTGGCAGTTAAAAGGAAGAGGTAAGAGTTCATAGTTTCTAATGGTCAGTTTTCCCATCTTGAGTTTCATTAGCAAGTATGGGACTGATTGCAACGTAATAAAGACAGCCTGCACAGACATCCAGGCAAATGCTTATGTCCCTGCTCCGAGTGCTTTTACAATCAGAATAGCCAGAGGTAGATAAAATGAGGAAATAGACTAAAAACTAAGCAACTCCCATCTCCCTATTTTGAGAACTGAGATTAGATATATTCTTGAAATGAGTATTAAATGTGAATGTCACTATCTGCTGCAAGATGCTGACTCTTCTTGATATAACCAGGATTTGAAACACATATAGGAGACTCCCTTTTGTAAAAAATGAATATACAAAATAATGTTCTCAGATCAATAAGAAAAAAACCCAAGGTGGGGATGTGTGGGGACTACTTCCTAAACACGTGAAGGAACAGATTAGTAGTGATAATTAAGTTGTTTAGCTGAATCTGCAAAAGATTAGTGCAGCAGTTAATTTTATAGTCCTCAATAAGAAAACACAGGGGAAAAAAGAGTCAACTCAGTGTAGCTGGTATTTAGCAAATTATTCTGAAATATTTATGGACAATGTGCCTTGTTTTGACTAATAGCTTCATCTCTGAACAGTGTTAAAACCAATTATGTTTATAGTGCCTTCAATAGGAGAGAAGAGTAAGGGTTATGTTTTAGTTATATCCAAAACATAGCTTCTTCAAAACTAACTATTCATCTTATATTTTCTCTGGCTGTATTTTATAGCTTAGGCAAAATAATGACTAAACATTCCTGGCAAGTGTGGGCCCTCTACATGGTGTTAGCTGTAAACCTCTCTGAAGAACAAGTGCTGAAGCAAAGTTGTCCATCATGTGATGCCTCTGAGCTTTGCAACTGCTCTTTCATGGGCTTGGATTTCATTCCCCAAGAACTCACAGACAAAATCGTAACATTAAACCTGTCCCACAACAGGATCAAGCACATCCGATCCCAGGATCTGCAGCAGGCTGTGAACCTGAGAGCCCTGCTGCTGCAGTCCAACACAATCAGCTCAATAGATGAGGACTCGTTTCGCTTCCTTGGGAAACTGGAGCTCTTGGACTTGTCAAATAACAGCCTGGCTCACTTGTCCCCTGCATGGTTTGGTCACCTCCTTTCCCTCCAGCAGCTCCACCTTCAAGGGAACTCCTACAGAGACCTGGGGGAAAGCTCCCTGTTTTCTGGCCTGAGGAACCTGAGCTCTCTCCACCTGGGCAACCCACAGTTTTCCACAATAAGGCAGGGAAACTTTGAGGGCATTTCAGTTCTCCAGTATTTATGGATTGAGGGTGGCAATCTCAGTCAGTATGAGCCAGGAAGTTTGAAACCGATTCAGAAGATAAATCACATGATCATAAACCTGAGGAACGCTAAAGTATTCTCAGCAATTGTCAGGGACCTTCTGCACTCTGTCACTTGGTTAGAAGTGAGAAATATGGCATTCAATGTACCTGCTGAAATGCCACTATTGAGTGTCATGACAACCTTTTCTGCAAAGAAAATTTCTTTGAAACAGACCTTATTAACAGATGATACTGTGCCTGAGATTGTCAGCATTTTAGAAGACATGCCAAATTTAGTGGAGCTGGAGATGAAAGACTGTATATTGTTGGGAACTGGACGATGGAAAATGCAAATTCAAGCAAAACAATCACAGACTCTTAGAGCTCTAACGATAGATAAGTTATCTATAGAAGAATTTTATCTGTTTACAGATCTTCGTTCTGTAGAAGGTCTACTATCTCTTCTTACCAAAGTGACAGTTATAAACACCAAGGTCTTTTTGGTACCATGCAGCCTTTCAAAACATCTTCTGTCATTAAAGTATCTTGACCTTAGTGCAAATTTGCTTGGAGACCAGAGTTTGGAGCATTCAGCATGTCAGGGTGGTTGGCCTTTGCTACAGACTCTAAATTTAAGTCAGAATTCACTGAGCGACTTAGAAATGACAAGTAAAAGTTTGTCTCATCTAAGAAATCTAAGTGTCTTAGATGTTAGCCTCAATAATTTTGGTGATATTCCAGATGTGTGTGAATGGCCCCAAACCCTGAAATATTTAAACCTCTCCAGCACTCAAATTCCTAAACTCACGACTTGCATTCCCACAACACTGGAAGTTTTGGATGTCAGCTCAAACAACCTGAGGGAGTTTGCACTGCCCCTGCCATTTCTCAAAGAGCTGTACCTAGCCAAAAACCAGCTGATGACCTTGCCTGGTGCTGCACCTGTTCCTAACTTAGTGGTCTTGTCAATCAGAAGGAACAAGCTCAGCAGTTTCTCCAGGGAAGAGTTTGAGTCCTTCAAGCAAGTGGAGCTGCTGGATGCCAGTGACAACAACTTCATCTGCTCCTGCGAATTTCTCTCCTTCATCCAGCACCAGGCCAGGATAGCCCAGGTGCTGGTGGGGTGGCCAGAGAAGTACGTCTGTGACTCTCCGCTGGCGGTGAGAGGGGCGCAGGTTGGGGCCGTGCACCTCTCCCTGATGGAGTGCCACAGGTCCCTCGTGGTGTCCCTGATCTGCGCCCTGGTGTTTGTGGTCATCCTGGTGCTCGTGGCCCTTGGCTACAAGTACCACGTGGTCTGGTACCTGAGGATGACCTGGGCGTGGCTCCAAGCCAAGCGGAAGCCCAAGCGAGCCCCTGCCAAGGACGTCTGCTACGACGCTTTTGTCTCCTACAGCGAGAACGACTCTGACTGGGTGGAGAACATCATGGTGCGGGAGCTGGAGCAGGCCTGCCCGCCCTTCCGGCTCTGCCTCCACAAGCGGGACTTTGTGCCCGGGAAGTGGATCGTGGACAACATCATCGACTCCATAGAGAAGAGCCACAAAACCCTCTTTGTGCTGTCCGAGCACTTTGTGCAGAGCGAGTGGTGCAAATACGAGCTGGACTTCTCGCACTTCCGCCTCTTTGACGAGAACAACGACGCCGCGATTCTCGTCCTGCTGGAGCCCATCCAGAGCAAGGCCATTCCCAAGCGGTTCTGCAAGCTGCGCAAGATCATGAACACCAAGACCTACCTGGAGTGGCCTCTTGAAGAAGAGCAGCAGGACCTGTTTTGGTTTAATTTGAAAGTAGCACTAAAATCATAGATATGAACATTGGAGGCTGAGTTTGTACGCTGGACTTGTTTCCCGTGTCTGTTTGTCCTACTGCCTGTCTGTATCTTGACGAGAGAGGGCTGAGCTACTGTCCATTCTGTTTGTTGCTGTAAGGTTGTTTTCTTTTTGTAGCTGTGGATTATTGCACTGCTTTGGGCTGGAATAGAGATAATTTTTTTCATAGTTGCTCCTATAGTGCTGTGGTTTGGGTTTGTGACCACAACAGTGTTGATTACACAGGGATGATTAGTCATTCCTGGACAGTGCTTGCACAGCATCAGAGCCTTTTTCTGCTTCTCTTTTTGTCTTGCCAGTCAATGTGCTGGGGGCACATGATAATTTGGGGCAGGATACAGCTGAGACTGTGGAACCCAGCTGACCAGAGGGATATCCCATGCCATATAATGACATGGTCAGCAATAAAAGTTGTGGGAAAGAAAGAGGAAGGGAGGACATTTGGAGTTATGGTGTTTGTCTTCCCACATAACTGTTACGTGTGATGGAGCCCTGCTTTCATGGAAACAGCTAAACATCCGCCTGAGGGGAAGTGGTGAAAGAATTCTTCATTTTGCTTTGCTTGTGTGCAGCTTTCGCTTCATCTATTGAGCTGTACTTATTTCAACCCACAAGTTTTCTCACTTTAACCCTTTCAATTCTCTTCCCTGTCCCACTGTGAGGGGAGTGAGCGAGTGGCCACGTGGTGCTGAGCTGCCTTCTGGGGTTAAAACACAAGAATTGTCTACACATGTTAACCAGCAGTGTTAGCAAAAGCTGTTTCATTTAAACATATAATGATAAAAGTTGTTTAGATATACAGACATGTAGTTTATATATCTTTATCTTTGCAAAAGGTTTAGAAGGGAGCTTGCCTAGCCAAGGGTTTTTCTGCATTCTTTGTATAAACCACTTCTAATCAAATGCAATAAAACTCCATTTATGGATTTTTATCCTAGCTCTCCTAGTTAGTGGATCTAAGGACTGATTCTCAGCAGTATTTCACAGTAACTGTAATATAATTGTCCAGATCTCCTGAGGATTGTGACTTCAAAGCTTAATGTAAAAGTCCACTTTCACACTGAGGTGCTCATGTGTTCTGTGGACAGACAACTTCCTTGGTGAAAGACACCTATGGACAATTTCTGTCTATATTGTACCGCAGATGGGAATAGATGTTCTAAACTAGTGTCCAAACAGTCTTCTGACTTGCTTAAATGGAGTTTAAGCCATTCCCAGCTAGAATGTGAGAAACACTAATATAGATGCAGTCTTTCAGTCCATCACCATACTCCTCTCTCTGCTCAGCACCCTGAGCATGGGTGTAAAAAAGATGTTTCCTACCTTTCTGCTCTCTCTGTAAGTGGAGTCTACTAAACCACAGCAGGTAGAGAGCATCCCACCCCAGACGTGTTTCTTGTCAGCTGGGGCCATGCTCTATTGGGTAGGTTTCTGGGAACAAGGCCTCTAATTGCTGAAAAAGTGGAATAAATGGGAGACATTGGCACCATGCCCTTCCTCCAGAGATGGTTTATAAAGAAAGAGTATCTTTGGTGCTATCTGTCTTGCAGCCACAGGAAATTTCAGATGAACCCTAGCAGCTTGAACCTCATAGGCCAAAGAGACAACATCTTCTTTACCACTGGGCTTAGACACAATGTAGGATATTTCCAGGCATGTACAGAAACAGATCTAAAAAGCCTTCCCATCAAAATGTCTACAGCATTTTGCTGTATCTGTGATTAGATCATATCCAGGTTAACATTTTTATTGTTGTGCTTTGGTCTTGGGCATCTAACATGTAGATAATCTGTGTTTAAACACCTCAATATTTGTAACTGTTTTGATACACTGAGAGTCTCATCTCACAGCTGGTTACCTGTCACATTGCTGCTTTTATGATGTTCTCCACTGAGTAAACATGTTAGTGGAAGCAGTCTTATCCTTTTCTGGCAAATAAGAAGGCTGAGTAAACAAATATTCTTCTATTACACCTACAATTAGGCATCACTGATAGTGTAATGCAAAGAGAAATATTTATGTGCATTTTTGCATGTGTGAACACAGGCATAGTGCATTCCTCTAGATGGGAATTTCCCTGCTCACATAGTCAAGGCAGAGAGGTGAAGTGCTTTATTCTCATACATCTTTAAGTGTCAATTTTGTTAATCTGTATTTCTGATTTCCAATGGCAATTTAAAGATTCTTTAATCTGAGTTAAAAAGCTACTTCAGCTGGGCTAGTTACCTTTTAAGACCAGCTTCTCTGACTCCTAAGCAGAACCGTCTGCTCTTGCATGAACATGCTGCGTTTCAGTTCCTCATTGCATGTCTGGGGTAGTATAGGTGACAAACATTCGACTGTTGAGCAGCAAGACTTAGGCATCCATTTTACATAGTTTGAGGGTTTTTTTTGGTTGTTTTTGATTGGTTGTTTTTTTTGGGGGGGTGAGGGCTTTGTGCTTATGGTGTGTTTTTTTTTAAAGAAAGCAAGAGCAACGTGGAGTTGGTGGTTAGGGATCATAACTTTGTCTGAATGTTTTTGAGAAGCTGGGTATTTGAAGCTGGGACTTTTGAGCATAGTGACAGTAAGTCAAAGAGGACTTAAGACAGGGCTTCCTCATAGAGGCCTATCATCTGTCTATCAAGCACACCATAAATATTTTTGCGGTCAGAGCTTTTTGTAAATGGCCATTGGAAGATGTATGAGTTATGATACAGCAGCTCTTGGAAGAGGTGAAGAAAAAAAAGCTAAAGGTAACCTTAGCCAAATGATCAAACAATTTGGGTGCGGTGCTTCAGAATTTGCTGTATACAAAGCCACTGTCTCACTTGAAATTCTCCTTATCTGCTGCTCAACTTTCTGTAGTCCGAATTTCAACTGGAAGCAACTGCCGATATATTTAATAACGAAACAAACTATTGGCACTTCAAACAAAATATTGGCACTTTCTTTCCTTTTTTTTTTAAAGGTATATTCATAATATGGAACAAGTCCTCATTTTCCAGCAAAATCTATCCATAAAAAACAGCAATTTATTTTAATTCCTACTTTGAGAAAATAAATAAATGTTTTAATAATGTGCTGTACTTTAACAGTCTTGCTGTAATGTAAAAAGAGGCAGTATCCTGCAAAAGGATATATAACACATCAGAGTTCAACCAACTGCTATTTTCTCTAGTCTTTTAAAATTATGTACACAATATGCATATTATTGCAGATTGGCAAATATCCAACACTTTATAGTCTCACTAATAATCTGAGTTATATTTTAGACTCAACGAGTAATTAATGCCTTGCATGATGCCTATAGCAGCTGATGGCCAAACTGCCAGTTTGCAGAGCCAGTCCAAAAGTTTCCCATACATTATATGTGCATTCCCACCCCATCTGTTGTTAAGGAAACTCAAGAGGAAATGGAACAACAGGTAAATCTCGGTGTTTTTTCTGAGTCAGAATCAAAGAAAAAGTATTTGGTTAAAATTTTGAAATGTCCTCTTTTCAGGTCTTTTCATTTACTTCCTTTTTTTGGGGGGGTAAGGTTAAATTTAAGTATCTTCTTTGCATATGATCAAAATAAGCTTAAAAAAAGTAAGCTAAATTTTGCTTGCACTCAAGCAGGTTTCTACAGATGTAGCAGCAGCTCTTCAACTATTATTTAATTTACTAACTACAAAGAGAAGGGAAGAAAAAGAGCACTTATTCTGAAAGTGGATTATATAATATTTGTTATTTCATTAAAGAGCAAAATCTACTGCATGGCCTTCCTAAAATTGTAATTTACATCCTTTAAAATGTTCCTCTCATTATAAAAATTATTCCAGGATGTTTTATAATCAAGAAGGAAGATATGTACTTACTTTTCCTAGCTTGCTTGGGGTCTTAGATAAGATAAAACTAAACAGAAATATCACCTTCCCAAATATAATTGTTCCTTAATAATAATTGGTTTTCCATTTATTTAATTGGGCCACCTTATCCCTCCACTGCAGATCAAAACAAAAATTAGCAAGTAATCAGGCTATGGTTTAGAAAATCCAAATCAAAAGCACTCTTGTTAGTCAAAGGATATTGGTTTAAGGATATGGGCTTAACATCCTCTTCAAAGCAGCTTTCTCAGGTCAGTATGTGGTCTGGATCTTGCCAGCAATGCACCAGCCACAGATGCAGAATTCATGAAACCTGGTATTAAGGGTATTGTTATGAAATCTTTCAAATATAAACAACACCCATTGCATGCATCTGCAAAAACCTAGTTAAACCATCAACAAATATTTTTAATGATGGATTATGGATGCTGCCTTGTTTTATAACCAAGCAGTTTCAAATGAATTAAAATACTTAGGATATTTAGAATTTTGTTGAAGTTGAATCCAGTGTCCTCAAAATCCAGACTGGTAGTCATGTTTGCCAGGAGACTTCCAGGAACTGCAGAAGAGGGTGAGCAGTGACAATGCTCCAGCAAGTATGTGATTTTTTTTTTCTGGTTTCTGAAATGTAAATGCAGTGTTGTTTGGTACACCCAAGTATGAGACCCTGGGTCTTCTGTCAGGCTGTAGGGTAAGTATGCCAGCTTTTGAGAAGGGTTCCACACCTGCCTTAAAACTACCCAGCAAACACAGCCCCAGGCATAGCTGGAGGAAATCCTCTGGAGCACACAGGAGCCTGAATCAGCAGACATGGTCTAACATACCACCAGGCACAGCCACAGAGGCTTTGCACAAGGTACGTGGAAGGTGGATTTAAGCCTGGAACTGTAGGATTATAGCCACGTTCGCATCCGTTTGCCTCTCCTAAAGCTGTGGGGACCTCAGCTTGTGTCGCAGAACTGAAATATATTCCATGCTCTTTTTTTTTTACTTTTGTGCTATGTTGTTTCTGAATGTGGTTTTGGTCCTTTTTTTTTCCCGCCCCCCCC